AAAAGACTAGACACAAGACCATGCAAATACCAGCCACAAGACCAGACACAAGACCAGACACAAGACCAGCCACAAGATCAGACACAAGACCATGCAAAAGACCAAGCTCAGGACCAGTTACAGGTTGAACAATGACAGAGGAATGCTTTTGTTGCAGTTCATTTGAATAGCTTGTGACTTCAAGTTGATTTCAGACTGGAGGTCCGATGTTAGTCTTGTGCTGGTCTCGTGTGGTCTTGTAAAGGTCTTAAGTGGTCTCGACTACAACACTGGTTGTTGTCCCTTGATAAATTATTTCAGGATATCAACATCTTAGTTTTAACAACTTATGTCGTCATCCTGATATAAAGCGTTGAGATTTCAACAAATCGAATGGCACTTCCATGCTCAGGCATGCCGTTTGCCAGCGCTGCAGAGCATGAAACGGGCAATATCAACGTATTCACCTATGCGTTCGCGGGTACCCGGCTTATTGCACTGACTGCACGGTCCCCAGTCGCTCCACCTCGTCTCAACCCAGAGCCTTTTCAAAAGTGGCGTAAAACCTTTCCTGTTATCCATCACGTGGAACTCTGACGGATTACGGAGAATGACCTGATGCCAACTGTACACGCTGGTGGCAAATGAAAAATTAGAACAGAAAACAAAAAAAATTGCATTAAGTGACCTTCTGATATTGATTGAGACGCTCTAAAAAAATAGGGAAGGAGTCTGAGTTTCTACTAGATTGAATCCAGTGTTTAAACCGCGTATCTGTCCTTTTGATTTGATTTATTTACAATTTCCACAAAATATTACTGCAAAAAATAAATTAAAGAAAAGCAAACTCAACGATTCCCAATAAGTGGAAATAGTAGGGATATCGCAAAAAGTTAAACAACTTATTTCCATTGCGGTCCCAATGACTCTATAAATGATTCTATAAACCTAAAGACTGCACAAAAGTCTAGAAATACTGCAAGTTTACTACGCAGTGACAGCTTCGCCAGCTACAAAACTGAAGTAGGTCAGCGAATGAACAAGGCTTACTGGTTATCTTTGGAGCATCTGTAGCGCCCAGCATCGCCTGGCTGAACATCGTGGATAGTTAAACTCATATCCCAATTGAGAATGAACTTTCCCACGGTGTACTCATGGTTGTGGAATTTAAAGTCCAGTTCCCTGAGATTAGAATCCACCCAAGTCCCGTGCTCTTTCATCCACTGGATGCCGATTTCTTGGATTCCACTGTATTCGGATATATTGGGGTTGATGTTTTTTGGGCATTACAATACTTGATTGCAGAAGAACTGGTTGACATAGAAATAAATTTGAGCCACACTGACTATTTCAAGAGCACCTCTATGGAGTGGATAAACCCTTGTGCGTGCCAAACAGTGCATGTAGCCATTGTTTGGCATGCCCAAGGGGTTTATCTACTACGGACACAGGGCGATTGTTCCCCTCATTTTCTCTGTTTTCTCCGAATGACGCAACCTACATTCAGAATTTGTATCTTGGCATGAATAGAAAAAGTCCCCCTTCTTAGCTTGTTATAGTTGTGCTCTGAAGACAAATAGCACCGCATTCGATTTGGACGCTTCCATATTTATTTGAACAAACAAAATAAGAGAAAACATGTTTTCCTTAGGGATGCTCTTTAATTCCATATCTTAGGGCTGTAAATCTGAATATGAACTTTTCTCAGAGATTGGGTTTGGAGGGAAAGATCGTTTATGATATAGGATAGATTACGATAGACGGTCATCGCAGGGTAGTCTTAGGTGTTGAATAGGGGCGATTCACAGTAGTGTGCCTGAAGAATTTGGAACGCGTCACAACGCGCGAAATCTGTTGATCCTTTCCAAACGCGCATTGGGTCGACAGATTTCACGTATCGTGATTGACCAACGCGTTGCAAACTCTTTGAAGCACTCTATTGTGAATCGCCCGTGCTACCCTGCATGCGTTTCGACCACGTGTGTGGCTTGCACACTCTCACAAAGATTTCATGAACTAAACTTTGCTCAAAGACATTCAGTACATATCTGGTAAGGTTAAAATACCCTTGATAAAGTTTGATAAAAAAAGAACAAACCATGGATCACAAAACAACTGCACGGAGTCTCCAGGAATCACCGGATCAGTCACACTTGTGTTCTCCCAGCAGCGCTTATCTACAAAAGGAAGACAAGAGATGAAGCTGTTTCGTAGAAAGATATAAGAAGTCTTCGGAATTAGTATTTAACATGACAATGGGGACCTATGCTTTCCAGGAATTATTTCAAACAATAAGAAAAGTTACGTAATGCTACTGACTGGAACGCAAGCCAAGCCCATCTTTAAACCAAACGTTTCAAAACGATGAAATGAATTTGGAATAGCTAGCGCGTATTCTTACTTCACATGAACAGAATCAAGGTGAGAAAGGCTTTGTGCTAGGGATTCTATTCTACAACGATCTAATGCTTGCGTGCGGCACTGCTTACAAGTCAGTGTCATTAATTCCTCCTTCCACAGTCAACAAACCTACCTTCTCTTTTGTGCTGGACATTGCTTGCCAATTGGCGGCAGCAAACACACAAGACCATTCCGATCTCGTGTTTGTCCAGAGAGTAAGCTAGATTTGACACTAGATTTCCGGGGATTGTGACTTTCGGGACCCCTTTCCCACAAAGAAAAAAGAATTAGATTGAAGCTTTCTGACTTACCTAACTAGATGACAATGACATTAATTCGCCGAACTGCGGAGGGTTTCGATTTTTGAGGGAATTTATGGGGGAAAAGTGACGACAGTGACACAGACCTCGCACGCACGCCTCCGCAGAAAATTAACACGGATGTCAACGTACTTGATAGAGTGTCTGTGATTTGTTACTGAAAAGTTTGTAAAAAAAGGTATCTTCATGACAATGAATTATCTTCAACATGGCATCTTCATGTTCATCAATAATTTTCTCCCGATAGTACGTTTTCTTCGTACTTCACATCGGTCAATGAAATCCACGGTCACTCCACTAGATCCCGGACAACATGTTTATTCCCTTCACTCGCACCGTCTACTCAATGAACACCCTTCGCTTTTCGGTCCCCGTTCATGGAATACCATTCCAGATGACATCAGGAAGAAGTCGTCCGTGGGCCAGTTTAAGACCTATTACAAAAGAGTCCTCCTATCCCATTATATGACATAGCTTTAATCTTCTGTGCTTACGGTTAATATCTCCTTCTTTTATTTTATTATCTATTAGTCGTCATCAAACATTACAATTTTGTGCAAATAACTTTTTGCCATCAGCTATTGTCATGTCTTTTATGTTTTGTCCGTCGTGCTTCTTTGTTTGTTTGTTTTGCTTTGTTTATGTTTGCTATCTCGTAGTTGTTCGTGTTGTTCTTGTTATGTCTTCTGTCTTAAGGGCTGTTTATACAAGCCTCTGCTTACTCAACAGCCCCATGCTCTTTTCTTTTCTCATTTGTATATAGACTGCTTTTCTTTATCTTATCATAAGCTCTATTGTTCTCTTTTCATTAAGTAGATGTATCTGTTTAAAGTTATTTACATCCACATTACCAATTTCAATGTACTAAGTTTCTTTTATTTCTGATGTATTTTCTTAAGCTCACCCATTTTGTCAATTTCTATGTACCACGTTCCCTTAATTATCTATGTCATTTAAAAAAAGAGAATGGAATAAACGTCTTCTGGAATCTTGAAACTTGAAAGCCGATCTCTGATTGGTCCAGATGATCCATTAAAAAAAAAACAGACAAAGGTCTGACGTAATAGTTCGCCCGTTCCTTTAGGAGAGATTTCGCTGATTGGAAAATACCTCATTTGCACGAATAAAAGAAAGAGTTTAATTGGTTTAAAGATACGGAGAGTACATGTGTCAGACGGATCGGCACTATACATAACGCACCATGTTCGTGCTTGTCAACAAGACTGTCTCTTCACGTTGACGAAAATAAGGTGAGAAAGTCACATTTCTCTCTAAATTTACTCTTTCAAATGCAACCCAAACAGGGTCATGGCAATCAAGAGACAATGCCCAAGTAAAACTCCTTTTCAAGGCTGATCCTTATTCGTAAACTGGGGGTTCCCAAATTCACAATCCCCACATTTCCACCACGTTGGTTGAAGTCATTAAAACAAGACGAAGCTAGAATTTATTCAGTCTGGGTGAGAGTGGAACAGTACAATTACCAACCTTGTTCATAATCCGCATTTTTGAAGCAGACGCCATAACATTTGCGCCCCCATCGTCTAACTTAAGAGCCACGTGTTTGATTTTGTCGCCATTGATCGTCCCGTACATGTCACACACAAAATGGAAGGTCAGACAATTCCCCGGGCATTCACCTCGAGAGATGACGTCAGTGATGGACAATTGGCCGAGCTCGGACAGAAATATCTTGACCGATTGGAGTAATATTTGGAGGCTTCACACTTAATTTAACGATCGGTGACAAATCTTCTATCCACTGAAATTTACAAAATCTTTGTAAACACAAGGTGTTTTGCTAACAAGTAAGAAGTTATGCGCTAGTCCTTGCCATTCGAGCGTGCGTACCTACCTACATATCTAGAATCCCATTCTCCACCAAGAATTCGACTCCAGACGAGAGCAACCGTCAATAGCACGAATGTCCGCATGCCCAAGATTCGTAAAACTTAAAACCTGAAGCTCGGATCCTTCTGTAAACTGTACATGCATTTAATAATTTCACATAGAAATATGGAAGGGTTGCGTAACACCGTGAACAGAAAACATGTAATTGTCGAGCTTTCGGCAACTGAGAACCTTCTCGGACAAGCAGATTCAGTTCCTTGTGTTCACTGGATCGGCTTGCCCTAAAAAAGGTACTCAGTTACCGAAATTTCGGCAATTACATGTTTCAGAGCACTGATTTTTATATTATATTCCTGTCAGTATAATAATTTCACATTTATGTGTTGCGAACGTAATGTGCTTGCGAGTGCTGCGTTCGTCACGCGCTACGCTTTCTGAAAACGCAACAAGGAAACGCTGTACGCACATTGCAGCGCAATTCCACGCGTCAATTCATTGAACATGCAAATAATGCGGCAAGTGCGCACTTCGACAAAAGCGAGCACGCGCTCTTGATGCAATAAAAAAAATTAATCTGTTGGACTGGATTTTCAAGGATGTTTCTCCAGCTTTGCATCCTTTGTCAAACTGAAACAAAAATGCGTACAGGTATATATAAACCAAAATCAAGAGAAAGAAAAATGTGTTGCATTATTGCAGAAGTTGGTACACTTCATCTTTTGCAGGTTTCCCTCGCCTTGAAAGCTGTCAAAATCTTACTCAAAACTGGTGTAGGTACGCTCCCTGTAATTTCGAATTAGAACGTGTATTACCACACCAGGCATTGTAAGCGGTCACGACAATCACACGCACCACTGATTGATATGTAAATACACGACTCTCATAATTAAAGATCGCTCGTGTAGTAGCATTTTATTATTAAATTTAGCAGATTTCCCCAGCCTTGGATGCTGTGAAACTGTGACTCATATTCGGAAGTCATACTGCGGTTTTGAAAGGTGTCGCAATTATGACACAGTGGGGGCGGGGGGCATAATTTCTCGCTACAGTCGGTTATTTCAATCACACGCAAGATCGAATTGTGTAAACACACGCTTTAAAATAATACGTTTTGTTTTCTTTAAAAGCTTACGATGTTGTTAAGGAAATGCTGACTCATGTCTCAGTGAACCCCACATGCAACTTCAAGGGAAAAAAATACTTAACAAAAAATCTATGAACGTCATCATCTTTTTTGTGCATAATTTCACTGGACAGGTGTACTTTCTGATATGTAATAACAAACTCTTGTATTCAGTGACATCTCAGCAGTCATTTAAGTTAGCATCCAATTTTTGTTTGCGACGACAAATTCGGAGTAAGGTTTTAAAAAAGCAGGAATAAATGTCATTTCTTCAATTTTTCTTTATTATTCATTATTTGTTCAGTCGTCCCTCGCCTTAACTCTGTTCGTTACAGTACATTTATACGCAATGTTATTGAACGTCAAATTAATATAACAAGGAATAATAATTTTCTTTACACATAAATTTATAAAGCCAATCTAAAAAATTACAAAAATCAGTTCAGCCAATAGTGCTCATACTAAAATTACACCAAAATTCATACCATTCAAGGTGTGCCAATTCCATGGCCTTTGGATCTCGCCGAATGCATGAAATTAAAAATAACAGACGCACTATATTTTATAACGAACAACATGATTTACTTTAAAAGTCATACGGGTGTATGCACTTTTGAAGTAAAACAAATCTTTTCAAATAAGGTGTTACTTCTGCCGCCAAACCTCCGCTTAATATTCCTACAATTCAAAGCTGAATTAGAAAATATATAAGCACGTTACGTACTGATACACGGAGTAATATTATGCCTGATTAGGAGGCTTATGGTCAATCCTGAAATCGCCTCACCTCCCTGGAGATAAAAGAGTAACGTGAAAAATTGGGTACGGTAGCCTGCTAAGTTTTATGTCGGTTCTATGAGTAGAGAGGGCCGGGTGGCTGGTCGTCGAGTATAAGTACCGCGTTACCTTAAAGAACATTTGACAGCGCACCAACTAGGAAGAAAGACTCCACAAAATAAACATGCAGGCCTCCAGCTGATTTGATCAGCAAAAACCAGCTTCAACCTGTTCCAAGGGTAAACTACACATTTTTCTAATTGAAACATGTGTGGAATAGCAAATCTCATTCCTGAAGTTTAACAACATATTCAAAGACTATTTGAGGGGTGAGAAATTGAACAATGATTTACACATCAAGATACAAAAAACGTCACATCTTAAATGACGCATACCACATATTAGTCTACACAAATGTTCATCAAATACATTGTAGTGGTCATGCAGGTACTGACCATATAATACTGACCACAGTATCTTAGAACTGACTTGCAGTAAGGGCGGTAGTCATCATTTCAGGCCTACTTTAATTGTACTGTCATGAAAATACTAACAATGTTGTACAGATCTAGTCGGTCTAAACATTTCGAAAATATCAATAGAATTAAAGACTGATTATCATATCCATTTTGAACTGTGTACATCATTTGAAGCATAAACATTATCCATCTTACGGTTTAGGATTTGGAACCTATTTCTCAAGCTGTGTCCATTTGGTATGCTCATTGTTTCCTTGCAAAAGCTGACTCCTTAAAAACATTTTGGTCGTTCATTCTTCCATAAATGGTCCATCTTTTAATATAGTAACTAATTTCGTTGAATATTATTAGCCTCTACAATACAAGGCGAAAACAAAGACTACTAAATTTTGTCCATACATGGACACAAACTGGAAATAAAGCCTCTTGTTTTTAACTTTTCCACTTCTGTGGACGTTAATTTGAACATTTAACCAGTCCACGTTTTCCTCTTTTTCCAAGATGCGGCCTTGGCCAAAACATCAACAACAAACTGAGCTTTGTAAACCTTGACCAGTTTGCAAGCCCAAGACAATATTTATTCCCACTATCGCTGGCTCATTGTAGATTTCGTAAAAAACACAGAACGATAACAAAATCTACGATCTCAAATGGGAACTCTCGCAGAAGGCAAACGCAATATACAGTGTATAAAGCTTTGAGAAAAAGAAGCATAACTGAATAGGCCTATATATAAAAAGGAATACAAATATCAAGGCAGCTATTGATCTAATCCACAGAGCTACACAGCCCTATGATCTAATCTCAGTACACATCATACTAACCTTTATATTTGAGGTATAAATCACAAAGGATAGTCCAATGAAAGTACTTGGCAATGTGTATCGTCTTATTAGTCGTGTGCATATTGCATAGTAATAACAAAAGGGAGGCGTGTTCAGAACATCCAGGCAGGGTTTGGGAGGAAGTTCACGGGACTACGACAACATTTCGACACATTTGATATTGTGACCTTTCACTCTAAGTTTAGGTCACCATCTTAAGCTTTGAAAAACCGAAAAAAAAACAAGCCGAAAACGAATGTATTTTGTGGACTATTCGGAACTGCCTGTTAACGCGTCTTGGTTGGATATTTTAACATTCACCATGACGATTTAATTTGACGCTGGCAACTACCGTATGGGCCTCGAGCTGGACCAAGAGAGAGGGCGCTATTTTCTTAGCAACGAATGCTCCATTGGATCGGATCTGAACTTTGCTGGTTCACGAACGAGTAGGAAATGCACGGGTCACTGTTGCATCGCTATACCAACGAAATGGATACTCCCGACCAACGCGGCCTTTTCCAACCGATGAGGGAGCGCTTCTGCTAGAGGCAGATTACGGAAAAAACCAAAAGATGTCACCACATAAACATTCAATAAATTGCATTCTAAGGTTTGTGGACTGGATATAAAAATAATATTTAAAACTGATACAATTTGTAAATTAAAGGCCTTTGGCATCATTAAGAGTTCCGAGAAGCTGAACCAAGGGTAGGTCGATCGAGCTTGATGGGTCGACTTGGTAGAGTTCACGCTATAGGCCTATGTGCATTTTGGTTATTTGATATAATGTGACCCAAACCGCCAAAGCTTTTGGTAAATCCACGCGAATTGTCCCTCTTTGTTATAAATAGATTGGCAAAATAACACTTTGTGCAAGAATTATGTACAAGAAATTTACATCCAATATAAAAAAATGGTCTGGTGTGACTCGTCTAGATTTCGGTAATGATTTCAGTTCGTCTGCCGCCTCTATCTGGTACCGCGGCACTCCGTCCGAGGGAAGGAATAGGAGGTATGTATCCACCGTACGTACTGCTCGACAGGGTACCATTCTGTGTAGGGGTCAAGGGGTCATCGTCACTCATTGGTGGTTCGCAGTATGATGCGTTAGGTGACACGGGGTCATTCAGTTGGGCACGACGGCCGTCCACATCGTCAGGTGACAAGCACATGATGTCTTCGTCTTCACTCAACTCCATGCTAGCTTTGTGTTCGTTGTTGGCCACCGCGTGCACGTCTCCGTCACAGCACCGCTCGTGGTACTGTCCGTCCGGCTCCAACGTGAAATACTTCGGCTCTAAGAACGGCACAGTGGGCGGTGTCTTGCAGGGTGAGTCATCCACCCCTTTAGCGGGCAAATCTACAGACTCGATGACGTAGCTGATGGGACTCTCTGGGCCGGTCTCGAATGGTATGGGCTCGACAACCTTCAGAGACAGCGATTGTTTGGAAGGTAGCGTTGCCGTGTTGGACGCTTGGTGGCGCGCTGCCGCCTCTGCCTCCGTGAATTCGGACATATCGTTTGTCACGCTGCTAAACTGGTCCTCGTCGATGCATTCATAGAAGCCACCGTCAGCCGAGTGCACTGCTTCGTTGGTAGTACTGCTGCTGCTATCGCTGATCTGTTTGGCTGGCTGGTGTAGCTCCTGGTACAGATGAAGCTCCACGCCTCTCGTCGTTTGCAGAGCAGTGTAATAAGCATCACAACGACCACATGGCGTTAAGCCGGTAGGAGGATAGGTGAGATTGTCCATGTTGTAAGAAATACCAGCCGATCGTTTCTTGGATCTGAAAGAGTTAAAATTCAGAACCAATTATTACCCATCAAAACAAAAAAAGATGCAGTGATGTCCCAACTAAGGATGACAATTTGTCTTAGTCTATGTGGCTACCGAGTTGCTTTGCAAAAATACAGTTCTATATTATGGGATATTTTGTGATTATTTTGGTAGCAAAACATTGAATCGAATTCCCTTTTCTTGAAAAAACAAAAGTCTGGTTTTGGCTTATTATATGCTTTTTCATGAACTCTGTTTCAGTTTTTGGAATAAAGACAAAATTAATAAAGAAAATACTTACCTTCGTCTTCGTCGACAGAAAAAGAACAGAACAAAGAAAGCCATGAAACAGAGGACGAACCCTCCTCCAACAGCCCCAGCAAGAACAAAGGCCGTCCACACTGCAGGATAATAAGTAAGAACAAAATCTTTAATTAATAATTAAGAAGCAGTTTTCAACAAGACCCTGGATTCTTTTCGATAATCCTTCCAGGTCCACACGCAACGTATCACCATTGTCTTACAATTTTTACTTACTTTTTCCGAAAAAATTACGCAAGAGAGAAAGCAATCGCTTTTCCAAACGGGCAAACTTTCACCACCTACCAGGTGGATCTGACGGTGATCCTGCCATCCACGTGATTGGGGGCGTGACCAAATCAGTTTTCCTTTCTTTATTGGGCGTTGAGTTGGTGATTATACGTCCCAGTGTGGAAGCTGAGGTAGACTTCAGCTCAGTCCGCGGTGAGCGCGTTGGTCGTCGAGTTGTTGCTTTACGGGTCGTGGACGGCGTCTCTCTGGTCGTCGTCGATGGTGGCGCTGTTGTGGCTATTAAAAATGAAATGTTCCATATATAAATGAATAACCAGTTTATAAACAAACATCTAAGAAACTATAATTTGCAAGGCGGATGTGCCCTCAAATGTGTAAATTTGAATTTCACAGAATGCACCTTGCCGGGATATTGCAAAAACCTCAGTACGCTCAATGACGAGACCTGTTAATCGTTTAAGAAAAACAAATGAGTTGACCTAGTCTCATCTACCAAGCGACTTGGATGATGATTACTATCTAAACTCGCGAAGATAAGAGAAAAACGCACCTGTTGCCACCCTGACGCATTAATGTGAACCCTATATCACGCCTCAACCTTTATACAAACGCGCAAGGAAAATTAAATCAGATATTTATTACACTTACACGGGGATTCGTACACATCCATAAACCTGATGTCATCAACTGCTATATCGCTGTCAAATCCACCACGAACAGCTTCGAATATAAGCTGGAGAAAAAAAAATCAAAGGGGAATCACGGTGCATAAGCTAATGATATCCTGTGGTAACCGTCAAGGTGACAAATACAACAGCACTGCTTCTTCAGTGTCCTCAATACCATTATGAGCCTTGAGCTGGACCAAGAGAAGGCTCAAGTTTCTTAGCAACGACGGCTCCTGTGGTGGGAAATGATCACTTCGCTGGTTCACAAACGACTATGAAATGCACGCGTTACGGTCGCATCGCTACCAACAAAATGAATACTCCCGACCGATATGGCTCTTTTCAACTAATGTGCGTGCTTCTGCTCATATTGTTTTTGTCGGGACTAAACCTATTTTCTGTATCTTACTTATCATTAGATAAGTACCGTTGGAAGTCCTTTATCACTAGGCCTAAATCATGGCCAAGAATTCATTTCGAGATACAATTATTGACTGGAGATGTGACGGTTAGGCTTGGTGAGAGGGAAATGAAGAGTTATTTGTTAGCACTCGGCCAAACATGGATGGAGGAACTTAAGCCGGTAATGGAGTACACGATGAAGAATGCACCACCGCACATTCGCCCATTCCGACCGCCCAAAAGTGATATTGGTATTCAGTTACACTTTGCTGCATTGATTATTCAGTTTTGGCGGGACAATGTTTTGTTTCTGGTTTGTTCTTACTTTGGCTGTCACAGCCTCGGTAGTCGGATGTCTCAGCCAAGTTAATTCTACCTTCTATGGACTGCACCTCTTAGTTGTAACTGGGTCATCGGAAACCCATATGAATACAGACTCTTCAGATGGATGAAGTGAACAAAAGCTTCACACAATGACTTCATTTCTTACCAGAAAACATGAACGTGGACGGCCCAAGGGTAGAAACAACATTATTAAAAAGAAGGGCTTCGTCATCGCCGCTTTGTGATAAGAATCACTTTTCCTCATCATTGGCCTTTTGAGACAAATCACGGGTCTTTTGAGAGAGCGAGACAGAGAAGGCGATGGGACCGCCGCCAGATGGGGGAGGCGGCTAGGGTCGGTATATCCGCGGGCTAGACGCGACGATCGCACAACGCGATAAAGCACGACCGGTTTCGCTCGTTCCCAGGCTGTGAAAAGCGCCCGCAGCGTTGAACAATAAACCCCCTAGTCCTCCGGTAAATCTCACAAAATGGGCGCGATTTTTTTTTTCATCCTAAACCTTGCAAAAATGGTAATGATTGTTTTCTTTCAATCAGGGAGGCGGTGACACGCCCCACAGGCGTATGTTCTGTTTTCGCTTACCTTTCGTAAATCCGTTTACAGGATTTTGCAATTACACCAAAATCCAAGCTCTTTTTTATCCAGGAAACGAGGGTACATTCGATCGTCGAGATAAAACCCTAAGTGAATTAATCACACCAAATGTGCCATTGGCATGGAAAGAATCTGATTTTCGTCTGAGGAAAAGACCATTGCAGATGCCTTCAACTGATTACGAAAATTCTTCATTGAATTCTTAAATTTGCCCTCAGGAGCCAGAGAATAATGAATCGAAACGAAACCATTTCTAAATAAGATTACTACTTTCCTCCTCAATTTTTAATTTTATTTTTCTCCTACTTGAAAATGTAATTCATAGATTGCTTATATAGTGGGAATTCGCACGGCGTGCAGTCTTCTTTATAGCTTCTCATAAATTCGCAATTGCAAAAATGAAAACAAAAATGTCCACAAGGAACACTTCATCTTGTCTGAGGAAAAAGCAAATTTCAAGGGTCCTATCAGGCTGTCACAATGACAATGGTTTGTTGCTTTGTTACTGAATAAATGTAAGACGGCGCGATTCATCTTATTGAACGGTGCACGCCAAATAATGGTAATCTATTACTTTGTACTTTTGTGTCATAGTAATAATTATGAAGATCTCAAATAGAGCCAGTAAAGGCACGCCAAGTGAAAATGCAGCTATCCGATGGTCTTTTTGCTAAGTTGTCCGAAGCCCTGGCTTACAATGTTACCAATGCCCGATAAAACAAAATCTCACTTACCATGGAATTTAAAGTAGAGCAAACTAACGAACTCCTAACGTGCAATGGAAGTCAGTCTTACCTAAAAAATCCTTAAACTCAGTCATGGTGTAAAAATATCATATTTTGAGCGAGAGATGAGATGCAGAGATGAAGTATGCAGGTCATGTCTCCATCGAGGGGAACCTAGTATTTTGTGAAGTGTTAGGTACCGGTGAGTCATGGGTCGAACGAGCGGGAACTACCGTCAAGTTGTCCCCAGGCCATCCAGAGAACAGTCAACGTACTCCACAAATCCATGCACCCTTTACAGAAGTTCTTCTCTTACTTTGCCTTTACCTGTGCTTCTCAAGTTTCTTTCAGAGGCATAATTCATTACTTCACTATTGGTGTGTATTTCACTTCATTTTTAAATTTTTTATTAATTAAAGGTGTCCTCTCCAGGGAGCGACTTTCACGCATGATCAGTGGCAAGCACACCTAAATCGCATTTGATGGCGCTGATTGGTCAACAAAGCAATCACTTGGCCAATAGCAGAACAGAGAGGCCAATAACACATCAGTATGTAAGCTTGACCACTGGAGTGGATATCGCACACTGACTACTATAGAGCCAATTGATTTAGGTTTTCGTAGAGTCATTGACCTTTTAAGCAAGCTTGAATTTCGCAAGGTGAGCGAAATCTTAATGAATTGCAAAGTGATGCTTGACCAATAGAATCTACAACGCTCAATAAAGCGCAATAAAGTGTGGAAGCCGAGCAGTAGGCTGTATATTTGCATAACGACAGCGCGTTTCGCGCTATCCCCACTGGTGTAAAAGGCGTCTTAAGTCCGGTTCATACTTCACGCAAAAGCGAAGCGAAGTCAACGTCCTGACAAATTTGCAGCGAAATTTCCTTGAAATGTGTTCTACTTCTATGAATTCGCGAATAATTTGATCTGACGTCAGAATAAGAGTCAAGTTTGAACCGGCCTTTAGGCCTATATGGTGCGAATGGGCTGGTTCCCAAGTGTTTCAATATAAAAAATCCGAAGAGAATTTATGTGGTTGCCACACGGTGCCAGACTGAAGACAGTTGACGCTTTTATAAAGAAACCTTTACAACAAACGAGGGGTGTTTAATAACAACTGCTGCAGGGTTGATGGATTTACCTGAAAGGGCTGGGTGCAAAAGATGTCCACGACACCTGTCCCTAGCCACATGTCCCTTTGTCGTCTCTCCCGCGACCACAGTGGCAGACCATGACAGGCGTAGACAGTCAACGTGCCCAGTTTGTCGGGTTCGTATCCGTCCCACATGTGATAGAAAAACCTGGGAGTGAAACCAAAGAAGTGAAACGTATCTAGACAAATATCCTGCGAAAAGAATCGAAAGCCATTACTGCGGGACCACCCCGTTCGCACGTAGGTGGTGCGCGCGCGTTACATTCCTCTCCAACCAATCGGGCGTCTTGACTTGCCAAAGTGCACCCACACGCTCAAGTGAAGACATGCGCCTGTGTACGATGGCCGCGCAGGAATGGCGTCTCCTCAGATTTGTCTATGGTTAAAAGGATGAAATGTATGGACAAGGCAGCCATGAATTAGCACAAGGAATTCTGAAAAGAAGTAATTGGAAGACGTAAATCGGATGGATTGAGAGAAAGTGGCAAATGCATTGGTTACAAGGGTGGTGTACAATGCGAGTAGAGATTATTACCATCCATCAAAATTGCAAGCACATTCTCGTCGCGAATTGATTTTAATGCCAAGACGTCTTTAAACCGCTCTATGACTGCACCAAAAATATCAGACTCATTACATTACGTTTTTTTCATTTATTAGAGCGTATAATTGAGATCAGCCACAGAATAAGGTCGACCTCGAGTGGGGCTGATTTCCCCCACCAACTGGACGCAGTTTCCAAGCAAACAATTCAACGTCACAGAATATAAAGCTTCCTGTTTTTCATTCCTGATTTGTAACTTCTCTTGGACAACAAAAGCGCCCCCAACGCCCATTTTCTCTTCTGGAAACAGCTCTCAGCCCAGAGTTACCACCGGGTCACTTGTTAAATCACACACTGCCAAGTACTGTTGCGATGCTACAACCCACACACACATAGCGCAGCTCCTTCCATGCCTGAAATTGTCTGGTCAGCTCAGACACAACCGTCTGGGATTTGCCCCCTTTCTTTTCACTCCCCTCTTTTCGGCGAGAAAAAATGCCGCGGAAATCTGTCAGGAAGTTGTCTAGGGACAATGGATCGGCGACGGAATCCAATAAGTCATGGCCTCTTTATTCGTGCATTTTTGTCGGCCGGCGTGCCATAAGCGCAGAGGACAGGCACGGGCTTATTACCGGACAAACACTTCACTCTATCCCCACATGATTTGACCGACTCGCCGGGATCAGAGACGAGAAATAGAAGCTCGCTCTTTGGAGATAAACAACCGGATTTTTGCCGGATTCATACCTGTCCTTTGAACACACACAGAAATCGGAGTCAATTTATGGAGACTCCAATCGAAGACTTGCCACCCCCAAGGGGAGTTTGCCAGGTTCAGCACTGGAACCGTTATCTACTCCGAAGGTCATTGTGGGCAAGACGCCGTCCCATGTACCGGGTTCAGGCATCAATATTTTTAAAAGACGCCGCCATTTGTTATGTTATCTTCCCGCACAATGCATACGCTGGCGTATATAGATTTAAGGCATATTACAACAAAGTCTTTGAATTAAAGGAGGACAAGTATGCAAGGTTCAAGCTTGGTCAACATAACGAATAGGCGGGTGAATATTTAAAATTTAAAAAGGTTATTCAGTCACTGACATATAACCATGGCTACTTTGTGTTCGACATACTCTCTCGACCTCTTCAGAACATGTTATTTCCTTTTCATACTTCCCTTCAGATAGATCCCGGAAGGCTTAAAATGTGATTCAGATCATAAAGCAGCTTTAGGCAACGAGGATATTGACGTCATCATGACGCCAAAGGTATAGAATTATTCAAAACGATTCGCTTCACAATAATTTCGTGCAGGTCATAATCGAGAGAGAAATCATGAAGAACTAAAACTTCAACCGCGTGGGTTCATCGACTTCAACGACTTGAGTTGGACAATTCGAATGACAGGTGATTCGGAAGCCATACTCGTACGCTGTTACTATATCTTTTTAAGAACGGTGATTGGCGTCGCGTTGACCATATGACCTGTCTAGAGCTTGAGGATGCTGTTCATTATTATTGATAGCTGTACATCTAAGTCTAAGTCATGAAGGCTCTGCACACGTTTACAGGGTACAATGAAAAGCGTACAGGCTTACTTATTTGTAAGAGTAACAGAAAGTCAGCTGATCATTAGTAGAAGAATGGGGCTTCCTGTGTCTAAAATCCATCGTGGAGATGTAATGGCAGCATTTTGCTAACAAGTACAACTGGGCAGATAACAGTATTCACTGCCTGATCCCAACACAGAATTCATATCAGACCAAACAGGTGCTGTGTCAAAGTGGGATGAAATTACAGAGCTATGAAAGGAAGCGGTTGGGGTGACGGAATTGAAGAAGCAAGACAACATACCTGAGCCTGCCGTGCCCTTCTCGCAACTGGTAAGCAGGGAAGGAGAATCGAGCGACCTGGCCAATCTGAGTATCGTTGTAGGACGACGGAGCATAGATGTAGTACCCTAAACAGACGAGGAAATGAGAAGAGACTGGTGTTCAAGCAAATAATACAGGGGCCGTTTCATTCTTTGGGAAGTGTCTGACATGCAATGCAATTAAGTGACGCAAAGGTTTACGCAACTTCGTTTTCCCATCGGTTACAACGTTCAAACAACCAAGAAAGTCCTAAATTCGTATAAATATAACACAGATTTATGTCGCTCTCCCTTCTATTAACCTGGATCCTCAGTCATAATGAATAAACGGGAAAGAAGGTTAATAATATTGGTATTCAGCAAATGGCCAAGCGAATGGGTGGTTACTTCAGATCTTTTGCTAGTTATTGATGAGGAAGCACACCTGCCGTTTTACATTATTCCATGATTTCATACACAAGCGACATTATCTGCCCTTGCATTTTCATAAAAAAAGGATATTCCACTACAAGTCTCCTTTTTTACCCCTAGCCAATAGAAGAGTTTTTTTCTTGGAAAAATTTACTTGCACCTGTACGAACAAATTAAAGGGCAATTTAATGAAAACAGCTCACTGACAATATAATGAACTGCTCCGTGAAGGCAACACGATAAGGCCTCGGGAATTTATTGTTTATTAAAGAGCATTTGGTGAATCTGCTGAGCTGATTTCCTGGGAACGACAGCTGCCCTTTAACGTACTCTCTCAGCTGACACATACTGCAAGATAGCCACACTACGTGCCCAACTTTAAGTGCTCCAGATTTCTCCAGAAAAGTGATCTTTCCTTGTCCCAAAGCAAAGGCTGGCGTCACGACGGTGGGAAAGCAAGATTTAATAACTCACTTTACCGCGAATAAAAACCCAGCTCTGCCCCACAGCCGAAACATTTAAGAGAATTATGCTGAAGGATTTGGCGACGAAAATCACCGTCAACTTTTTTTTTCTGAGCGCCACCCCTGCGGCAGAAGACGCTAGACTAGCACCGTCCACTCCACGCGAGCTGTGTTGCTGACGAAGTCACTCCTTTGCTTGGCAAAATGCAGTTTGGTTTTAATAATAACACAGAGTCAGGAATGTACTTAGATCTGAACACATGTATATTAACAATTATCCAATTCAACACGACAATAAACAAGGAACTGTTATGATTCAGTTAAGCCCGAGGAAGTTTGTTTTTTATGTTTAAGGTATAGTGCTAGTGCAATAGACTCAAAGATAGAATACCTTCGTGAACTTAAAGACAGCCAGGGCCTTTCGTCATTGCGACGTTACCTTCACTGAACCTCATCGTCAAGCTGGAGAAAATGCAAAGCTAGACTGCAAAGAAAAAACCTTTTTTGCAGTCGGCAGGCCCTTCTCCTGTAAAGGTTAGAGTTGTTATGGTGCTACGGTCGGATTATATACCTCAAAGCGCGGCATCACGCGTGCTGTCAACGTAGGGGAGTTCTATTAAGATGTCGTCTGCTGGCTGTCAAGCTGGCGCGCTCCATCCCGTTGGCAAAAATCGTGAGACTGTTATTTCCCGCCGAAATGGAGGTTGTAATTCCAAGGCAAACTCCACTTTTGGGGGTTAGCTATGTTATCGACAGTAGGCCTCGGATTTACGTGGGTTCTATAAATAAACTGACAGTTATCAACTTCGAAGCTTCACTGGGGAGAACCACAGCCTTTTAATGCTGCATGGAAAACATTTCAAGCTCAAAATCCGTGGCGATTATAAAAGTAACAAACACGCATATGCACCACATTTTTTTCTGGAATTCTCCAGTAAGTACGAAAAGCTGTGCCATATTTACCTAACACATAAATTTGGCACACAAAATACATTTCTCAGCTGATCGACTGAAATATTCCTCCTAAACAGTTGTTTTTGTAGCACGTAAACAACATTTTTTTCACTTGCGTCTCGCAATCAACCTTCAAAGGCAGTTGAATGGATCTTTTACGACCCATGTTATCCGCATCTTTCACAACCATTTTCCCGCCATATTTGATTATGAAGCTTAGTTCATATCAGAAATCTTGCGACTTTGTTCTCCGTTTTTTTACCATGAGCGTGCAACGCTGGGTTACCGTAGCCAACAAATCAATTTCGGATATGTTCTCATATCAAGCTTGGCAGATCGATGGTATCTGCAGATGTAGCTCTACATGTATGACGTCAAAACGAACAACCTACACAAAGCAGCTCGTGATTCTTTGAGTAAATAAACTCGACTTTAACATGTGTAAACTAACGTCTTCAACCAACTCCAGTCTTTAAATCAATCAATATCGATAGAGGGCGTTCCCATGTCAACAACTCGGTTCGCCTCTCTTACATGTGTTGACGAACGAGCTGACAGAGAATTGGGGCGAGATGCGTTTATCTATAGGTTTAGCGAATTTACACCCGAGGTGCAATTCGTGTGGGCCCCGTTAAAATAAAATTGGTTCGCTTGGCCTAGTTAATTAATCACATGATTATTTTTTCACCGGAGAAAAGGTCACATCTTACCTAATCCTACTCCAGCGAGACGAAACACTAGTCACTTCCTGCTCTGCTCGAGTCTGCCTTTGCAGCTCTTTCAATTTTTATATTTCCCCCATGCCCCAATTCCAACAGCTTCTGGTAAGTCTGTCAATCGTCTTAAGATTACATGTAGGTTCAAGTTGAAGCACAGCTATACCTGTAAGCCATGGGGGATCTTGTCTCAACTAAGCGATAAGTAGCTTACCTTGGCGGATAATTAAAAGTTGTATGGGGAACATCAAATTTGAACTGCTGTGTGGTAGATAACATATTGGGTCCCTTCCAAAGGTCCTTGTTTCTGATCATACGCGTTACTCTAAAGACTGCAACGACAATGAGCAAAATACAACATGTCTGCTGCCACCAAGTGGCTGACATTTGCCTATACGGCCGACGTTAACACTTTCCATTTAACACATACGCCGCACGATCGCTCAATGTCATGAAGTATTTCTTTCGGAAACATTTGCTGCGATGCAACTGCTAGGAGCAAGTGGCAAACCGTGCGTGCTAAATGTTTACCAAGGCCCAGGATATATGAACAATTTGAAAGACCCCCTGTGTCAGATAAAACCTTAGGTTCGTTATTCTCTTATTTAAAGATATCCCAAAATGGCTTTTCGAGTCTTCCCTACTGACGATTTGCATTGGTTACTTTAATAGAATCTCCATAAGAAAGCTGGCTCTTTCAACACGCCTTGCTTTATTAATGGGTTTGTATCCCCAAGCCCCGTAGCCATACCAATGACTAAACTACAAACAAATTCTGTAAGCTTTGCTCATCTGCTCAACCAGAAGGAACAAACGCGGGGAGACATTTGACAGCCAATCAAAGTGCGCTTTGCCATCCCTTAACCCATCTTTCTCCTGTCATTCTATTGTGTGGCCTATCCATTCCCCACCGCCAATTATCTTCATAATTTCCAATTCAAACTTTTCCCGGGTGTTTTCACAGCCCTCGCCCGTCGATCCACTGTTTGTTTGTTTTTCTTTTTATAGAAAAAATAGCGTAGAATGGTGACAAAATTCCATGAAAATTCATTGTATTAGCGCGAACATTCTCATCACGTCTTACCGACACTGAGGGGAACACTCTGCAATGCAAATGAAGGCATTGGGGCCCCTCACACCACGCCTGTGGTACCACAGCAACCATTGCGTCGCTCTTGCCACGACCCTAATGAGAGGTCTACCCAACGGGTAGTTTACGGATGAAAAACCAAAAGAAAAAAATCTGAGCCCCCCCTCTCCCGTCTCCATCCGAAGATATGACTTGAGGCCAAGTTTAATTCATAGTGTTGTTCTGGGTTATCCTCTCTCTACCCCCCTCAAACCGCCATCGATCGGGCCCTCCAGCGCGGATTGATTTAGAAAAAGAAGGAACAGCACCAGCCATGGGGTGTGCGGCTGAGACGCGTTAATTTACGAGGATTTGGAAGCAGCTTAAGGGGTTTCCTACACTCGGCCTGAGGCTAATCTCATCACCGCAGAGGCAACTTAAATGACATCTCTTGAATAATGTACGCACTCGGCTGGTCTGAGCGGCACACTCCATCAATTAGCCCGTTGCTATCTCTGGTCAATAAGGGCTTCATGTTACGGCCCTAGATATATCGGAATGTCTCGCGGAATCTCGGGTGTGGCACGGCTTGGAGGTCCCTTCCCGTACCGCGCTTTGCATGCTCGACACGCCATTTTAGTCAATTCTCATGGCCTACGAGAACTAGTTATTTGGGAGGTTCTGAGAGACTGTATAAGGTTTACACGAAATTTTGACGTTGTTGACAATTTTTTTGTTCACTTAAATTTGACGTTTGTGGCTATGGCTTACACGTTTCTTTTATAAAACTCATGCAGGAATAGTCCAATCCGTAAACAAAATGCCACCACTATGGCCATTTCTACAACACCCGTATCAACGTAAACTGCACAACTTGTATAAACTCCATTAATGTTAACCTCCACAGGGTTTTATCATGGCTCGCTGCTATAGACCTTTTTTACCCTCGTGACTGGATTACGCTATATGTTAACAATACCACGACGTGTGAACCGCCTTGGCCACAGTGATCCCATGTCCGGTTCGTAAGTGTGACGACACTTCAGTTTAAACCACGCCCACTGCACACGTTCACTGCACATAGAGTTACATGCATTGATAGCCGTTTCCATGGAACCATGGAACCGAAAGTTAACGCGAAACTTCAGCGATCGTCCAATGGGAGCCTGCAAATCGTGGCGCGTCTGCCTTTGTGACGAAGTCACTTACGAACCGGATATTCCTACGGGCAGCTTCCACCGCGTGCAAGCGCACGTGCAAACAGTGCATGCTTGACTAGTTTATTTTGAATATAGGTATATTACCATCACAACACACAGCAGTCCAGAACGATTGTTACATCACAGGAAAAAGGTTTACATGCAACATGCCATATGCTACATGATACAAACAAAGCTAAAACGACAGCCTTGCTTAATGTGAGATGATAACTGTGTAGCGCACTTGATATGAGGGCACTGCAAGCTGACTGCGGACTTAGTTGCATAACAGGCTTGGCCTTACGCTGTAGCAAAGTATCGAAGCCGAATCCTGCAGATTCGAATGCACTTCGCACGGTGTACCATTTCATATTCGTGGCAGAGGATTTTCTCTTGAATACTGATGAGCATGTTTACTTGGTGTTAGAAGGTTGAAGTAAAGAAAAAAAACATGTAAAATGAAACGGGAGCAGCAGGTCTACGAGCCATATTCCTAAATGAAAGTTAATTTCCTCTCTCGCGCCGTGAAATAACGCCGAAATCGGTTAATTAGTTTGAAGCATTCCATCACATGATTGAACACAACAAGAAGCTGAATGAAAAGCCGATGCAGGCTACAGTAGACTAGCGAGAACAAGGAACTATGGGGAAAAATTGAGGTGCGGCAAAAACTTGAAGAAAAGAATTTCGCCCGAGGGCCGATTTCGGATCTGCACTGGCCCACTTCACACGCCGCAGAAAGTTTCCCAACTCGGCGGTCGATGTTGTGCCGCCACCGGGCGTTCGTCTTGCCTTACCGTCGGACCGGCTAGGTTTTCAATCGAACTCCAAATTCAAGAATCCACGGCCGGCTGTAGAGCCGATGACGATCCTTCGAAGACCAGCTGTATAATCCTACGGGTAGTTTCTGAGTTCATCGTGTGAATGATCGCCAAAGAGACCAGCTCGGATGACTTGCCATTTCATTATTTCGCCAAAACTCATATTTTCGATTCCGGCAAATTAGCAAGGTTTCCCTCAAAATGTCAGGCCGCTGAGGAAGCAATTTTCTTTCCCTTGCCGTTCAATTTTATCACGCAGATCGCGCTAATATACTTAATAGCAGGTAGTCCGCACGACGAAGGAATTATTACTCTGATTTCCCTCCAATTGTCTTCTTACTTTATCAGTGCAAGTAATGCACACTCTTTTTGTTTTTAAGTTTCCTGTCCACGCATTTCCTGAGAGAATACGACACATTCTACCGAACCGCGGCAAGGCAAGCAATTCTTTGATGTCGCTAGTCAAGCTCAGTGAACCCTGTTCGCCTGAGCATGACTGATTTGTTCTAAATGACGCAGTGACATTTTCGTTTCAACGCCAATGAACCCTTTTTATCCGTAGCCGCATGGCAGGTATTTTGAATGAGTGATTTCCTCGCTAGATGGAGTCTCGTGAGTCTCGTCTCATCCCATCACTCAGCGGGACTATACCACCGCTAAAAAATTGCCAAGATGTTTGTCTCACTGCGAATATCATATCGCTTGATATTCCGTCCGAAGACACGTTTCTTAGTTTCTGGGTTCGTTCAACGTATATATTCTCCACGGCCTACTACATGTAACACAAGTCTACTTTTTTACCCAGCATTCTCGGTTATCCAAAGAGCCAAACGGAATATCCATAATAAATTCCCTGAATTTTAGGATAAACACTAGAATTTACCGTCTCCGAGAAAGTTTCCATCTTTCTTTTTTTCTCTTCACAAGCGGTGCGCTATTTTCCACCATGGGACGCTTCACTGCAGCGAACACTTTGATTCTGCTGCGATTTCAAGGAGAGGATAAACGCTCAGATTCCACAAGGAAGGAGAGTCCCAGTAAGTGGATCCAATACCTATCCCACTTGCATATACTTCATCAACACCACTTTCAGGGAACGAGCTGTTTCCATTGCACAATGCAATACATTTTCACTTTCCAAAGGAAATCAATAAATCGATCGATCCATCAAATAGAAATGTAACAAAGGCTGACATTATTTCAAGGTAAGAATTAAATTTATAAACTGCAACTTGTAAAGTTTCGACAATGCCTATACAACTGGTTTATCATGCGAAAACACAGCAAACGTGTTTCAGTGTTTCTCTTAAAATATCATTTCTTTTATATTCTATTTGACGTTTATGGAGGAAAGCTTTCTTTTTTAATTAAAACCAGCGGCAACTCTGTCTCCAGCCATTGTCAAGTTAATACATGTATGTTCACGGTGTAAGCAGACCAAAAGGTGTCAAGGTCTGCTGCTACTCGGCAGGAAAGAAATCGTGGTTGTAGATGCGGAGCATGTTGAGATCATTTGGGGGATAGCTGTCTATGAACACTTAATGTACAACGAAGCAGCATGTGAAATGTATATCTATCGTGTATTACTTACAAAATGCGTACGTTTGAACCGAAATGGTACAGTACATACAGAAATGTATATATCGAGGCGATATGTGATCAGTGATAATAATTTCACGGGGATTTCTTGCACCGTATTGCCAAACACGATTCCTTGATAATTCCTCACCTTAAAATATTAAGTTGAATATGCTTGGAGCAACGGGAAAATGAATAAAGATGTCTGCTGCCACCCAGAGTTTAAACCTCAGACCTTCCATACGATCTCTAAACTTGCAAACACTTCAAACTAACAGCTTCAGGTTCACGACTTGAAATTTGAGATAGCGAAGATAAGATAGGTTTCAGTGATAATGAGGGGAACGTTGGAAGAGCGCTCATTATGAAATCTTACCTGATGAGTTGTTATAGGTGTGGTCAGCCAATGGACCGGAGTACCAGCTAGGGGAGTGACCTTTGGTACGAATCCAATTGAAGTCATTGTTGGATGACTGCGTGTACCCGCAGGCTCGTTCATTCTGAAAGTCGCATGATATGACAACTGCAATAGAAACACACAAAAATAAGAGATCAGGCAAACCGCCATACTGAGTAGTTATACAGCACGGAAGGTGACCACCTTGCGACAAAGTTTGCTAATGGTCAGCAAATATGGCTTCTGCACAGCTATGCAACCGAGAAGACACGTTATTAAAAGTACAGAATTGGGTAAAATCTAAGTTATCAAGAAAATGTCAGAGTAAAAAAAGATTTAAAAAGTCAGTCAAAAAAGAAAGGCGTGTCTCCATTTATTTCTTTCTCCACCAACCTTATGGTTTTATTACAGTAGCTTTACAAAATAAAAGCTGCAGTAAAATCACTGCTGACAACAACAGATGACTCATAAATTCACTTAATTCCAACTTTTATATCTTTTTGCAACAAACACACTTTAAACTATAGTCTTCCCCTTCGTGCGACACAGCCAGAAATTCATGAAGCTTTGCCATACAGTGTCTGCGCTCAAGCACCCTACAACATACAGAAAGACGTCAACGGCCATTTAAGAGGATATCGCCCAAAAGGTATCAACATGACCCTCATCGATCAAAGGGAACATCTGAATGTCGCGAAGTCGAAATATCAAAATACTCGGCGAATCCACTTGTGCGTATCAGCGTCGACAGCCCAACCTATCAGTAACGGCAACCGGACCCAATAAAACGCCCTTGAATTTTACAAGCCTAGCACAATTACGGCTATTTAAATACGCGGCCATTGTTCAGTTTGAAAACCCAACACGGGCACTGCTCAGACGATTATAACCATCAAATCTCTAAAAATGTTATTTTTGGGACGCACTTGAAAACCGCCGAGGAGTATCATTACACCGCACGTTAGAGGAGTATCATTACACCGCACGTTAGTGTGAAGTATGGCACCGCTCTTGGTAACTCAAGTATTTTTGTGTGTTGTTGAACGAGCCTGGGATAGGCCGAAAAGTCCGGTGGCGCAACACGCACGGGGACGGGAACCCGACGAAAACTGAGCACGCGTTAATTGACGCCAACTAAAGCTTGTTTCCTGTCTCCTCCAGAAATCTAATATAGAGTTACCCACTTGTTCGTGTGTGTCAGGTGTTCCCATCGATCCGTTTGTTTTGTATAATCCTCACGCCTTCGGGGCCTCTGTGTATATTTTGTAGGTTATCAACTTGATCAGATTCAGGAGCTTTGTGCTCAGCTATAATACACGCTCAACTCGCCAATGCGATGAGAGCCCAAAGAAGAGGCAGAACGGCACGGGGCGGTGGGGGGGGAGTTCCGTTACAGTTTGGCGTTCGTTGACATTTGGAGCAAATTACATTTAGGTAAGCGGCCGGGGCCAGCTCAGAGGCTCGCTAGCAAGGATGGGGGAACAGATAACTTGACAAAGTTGGTGAGACTCGCCGCGACAATACAACACCTCGGGTACGAGGTGGATAAATGAAAGGTGTATCATCGTAATGAGGGCATACAGGTCAACAATGGACGTTTGCTCGTAACAAATGCCCCTTCGGGGCTCTGAGAAGGGTAAATGCATGACGTAATATTTGTCGAGCACTCATCGGGAAGAGTTCAGCAGAGCAACAACACGTGTAAAAAAGTCCGCTTACGCATGACACGTGTGCACTAAATGTAAGCCGCTTCTGAATCACCTGGCTGCGACTTGAAATACGATAGACTCGTTCGTGTTTTAGGCAGCAGTCACGTTATTCGGACATGGCCCTACATGCGTTGATTAGGACAGAGAGTAAACCACAATGCCTAGCGTGCCAGTATCCTCCTATGACGTATTTCCGTCCGATTTTATGAAAGTCTTTTGCCCTTACCAGCGCCACATAAAGTCGGTGAGGACGATCGCACAATGGACGATAGGGAACAGAGCGCGTGAAACGCACAGCACGACGGGCTGAATATCAATTGGAACGGTGAGGGGAAAATGGAAACCAGGTAGGCCTACATTGACAGGCTCTTTCGCAGTAGTCTCTACACAGTTCAGCTGTCGTGGAATGGGGTATCTGCTCATCTTTATCAAACACCAAGTTCCCCAGGCTGTGTGCAATAATCCCCAGGAAGAATACTGCTCTTAAGACTGCAATTTCCCCGGTGGATGTCACTCTTAGGCTCAACCAGCTTGGACCGAAAACAACTTCAGCCGGTCACTGAGCTAGATGGTGGGCGTTTGCTGCCCAAAAGGACAATGTTATCCGGGCCTGTTAAAAGTAAGATCACTCACACTCACTCTCACAAGATCGCTTCACTTGACCGAAGATGGCGCTGTGCTGCGATGACAAAAAAATTCCGCGCATTTCTGTGAATCACCAGAGTACATAATACATTTTTGCTGACCTAGGAAAATGGTTTTCCGCTGAGCTTTATTTACAATTTCAGGCGCCAATAAACCCATATAGAGTACAGCACATTTGCGTGGAACTGGAAAACTGAACAATGTCAGATGTTTTCAACACGAATTAATATAAACACTTCGCAAAACCACAATGGCTAGTATGGATGAATCATACTTTTGGTTCACTTTATCGCAAACTATAAGCATAATTGCAGACTGTCAAAAATAAAATAAACACAAAGTAAACACCAACTGGCCTGCAGTAAATAACCGACAATGCAAAAAAAACTAGAGGGTAAAATCAAAAGATTTCCATTAATGATTTGAAAACATTTCATCACCAATCCATCATGATTTCTTCCTCCCAACAATCCCCATCCCCTTGAAATCATCTGAATTAAAATGCACTTAAACAAGTAATATTATTAACATAAAGACCAGTTTCCATGGAATAACATCCGGTTCCCCACTGCAGCAATTAACGGCCAACTGGCCAAAATCTTGAAAAATAAGCCAGCATTCAGATGCATTTCATGTCCTTACAGGCCCCGGGTGATCATAGCCCTAAGGGATTTCCTCACTCTGTTGAAAGCACTGGGGCGGGCTCGGCGAACTAGCGCCCGAAGGAGCGACCCCGTGCGCCGGCCGCACTAGCTGCGCTTAACTTCCGCCATTCCTTCACATCGAATAATTTCGTTCGCCGCGCACAACAGGAAATGTTGGAACGGGGAGTGAAAACGCAGAGAGCTCGAAGAGTGCCACGAGGGAACACAGCCAGGTGGGGAAGGAAGACGGGTAGAAGGAGGCAGACAGGTCGAGCTTGGTGAAGGTGTTCGCTGCCTATCTTCAGTATGGCTTACGGTGGTTTGTGCGTAAACGGCTGTTTGCTGCCTGAAATATCACCGCTGGAATAATGGCAGCTTGCATGTACAATGCATAGTAGATCATATCTGTATCGTGACAAAACGCCAAGTGACTCTACAAGTAAGATATGTCGATTGAAGAAATATCGAACAACTTTTAAATATTCCATGTTTCACCACTTTAGAAAGACAACTAGCCTTGTACGAAACAGCCACCGGATGTGCCAAATTAACAGACAGAGCGGCTGATCGATAAAGAGAATGTTTAATATTTCAAAGTTAGGTCCAATGTCTTGGGGCTCTAAATTGAGTTGTCTGTTTCTCATAATTCTTACTGCTCCACCTGGCTTTGCCAAGTCCACACCTTATGTACAGGCGTCTGATTTGCTTTCTTTTAAGTGGGGGTTTACATTGCGGCCTCTCCGTCCACAAGTTCGCCGTCTCAGTCAACCGACCGTAAAAATGGAAGATGACAGAAACTATATTTACAGTCACGCTCCGCTGGGGCTCTGGGACTCGACGAATTATGTTTCTGATTACTGGGTAATTTCATAATACGCACTCTCGTCGACTTACAATTCTCGGCGGGGACCTGAGTTTCTATCAGGCATGTGGTACTTCGTTTTCCTCCATGCAGCGCTAGCGAAGCGCACTCCCTAACGCTTGTTCCATGACGACTACGGGTTAGTCTGTTCTGGATGGTGAAGGTCATTGAGGATGAGGGAAGGGATAAAGAAACGATCAGCTTGTCTCCCATCTCGTCTCCAGTAAATTGGGAATCTAAATCTTTCAGCAGCTTGGTTTACGGTGGGGGAAGTTGGGGAGAAAGGGAAAATGTCAAGTTCAAGTCTACCCCGTAACTCAGAGTGGAATGGTCATGACTTGGGCAAACATGATTATTTGCCAGGCCATTTCTAAGAACTGTCAATTGATTTCCAGTGTGCTCTCAGAAGTACAGGAAAATTTCCTTTTGGAGGGGACCATTTGGCCAAACGATAGCAAAAACACCCGTGATCGCATTCACGCAAAATCGGGAGGGGCAAAAACGCTTTTCGTGTTAGAATAAAGACAGATTAACGATACGCCCCTTTTGTACAAATCCCGCTCAAAAGCTACAAAAACTGAAAAACTTTGAAGAAGCGTAAAATCAGTTCAGAAGCCCATCTTGGAACACCAAAATATATGATATGAAAGCAGAACATTAAAGCTTCCAACCTTTTCTTTACAACCGATCCCCTGGCAGGGTCCATGACTAACACAACTGTCCTTTCATGCTTCTTCCTACCTCGGATACAGATCTGTGGTTCGTTGCAAAAAATTTCTTCTTGGCCTTCAGGGAAGGGTCTTTTCTGCACTTCATGATTTTGTGATTGTGTTCTCTATGTTACATGTTTCATAAAACTATACATGTTAGAAGAAAACATAAGTTTATCTTAGAATGCCTGAGTTAAATTTTCATATACTGCGATCTGTCCCTTTAATGCAGAGGAATCACTTGATGGTTGGGGATGTTTTCTAGTCGTCGTTCCCACAGATATGAAGGCTAAAGGATAGTGTCTGTCACTAAAGATGACTTATGTTGAAATTGATTTCAAATAGGCCAGCTCCCCTGGCATTTTACCACGGCCTTATTTGGTGAAAGTTACAGTTGTATGAAGGTTTTTCATCAGGTTTGGCCTGCAGCGCAGATCTTCTTCTCAGGCACGGAGGAATATTAAGCAATCTAATACGCCACATTACAGCCAGCTAGTTGAAGAAGTATTGCCGCGTAAAATGCTGAGAGACCGGGAAAAAGGGGGCCACTTAAAGG